CATGTCTTATTATATTATGTGTCTTATTATATTACATATCTCATTATATTACATGTCATATTGTATTACAAATCTTATTATATTATATATCTTATTATATTAAATATCTTATTATATTACATGTCTTACTATTTTACATTTCTTTTATTATATTATATGTCATATTATATTATGTGTCATATTATATTATGTGTCTTATTACATTATATGTCTTATTATATTACATATCTTATTATATTGCATGTCTTATTATATTACATATCTTATTATATTACATATATTATTACATTACTACATGTCTTAATCCTCACAGCAGTCGTGTCCCTCGACTCTGCAGGTTCTCAGGTCCCCATTTTCTAGATGAACATGCTGAAGTGCTGAGTCCTTAGCCAAAGTGTGGAGCCCACAATAGTGGACCAGATCCCCTCAGGTGGCTTTCTCCCTGTCCCCCCCACCAGCTCCTAACTCGGTATCAGATTAGTTATAATCCTCACCTGGTCCTATCTTCATTGGTTCAGGTAGTCTAGGGTCAAATAGTTACATACGTCAATGACTATCTCTGTTCAATTATGCAAGGGCTCATTAATGATGAAGACGTTCACAGTTGAATGTCACCCATATAATACTGTAAATGTCACCATATCTCTCCGTGTAGGTGTCCTGCAGGAGAAGACTGGTGGTACATGGGAAGACGGTGTGAGAAGAGAGGGTCCACCCAAGACACCATTGTCATTGCTGTTTCTTCCACTGTGGCCGTGTTCGCCGTGATGCTGGTCATCACTCTCGTCAGTGTCTACTGCACCCGGAGGAAGTACCGCAAGAAGATGAGTTCAAATAGCACAGCCTCGAACCCAGAAAACGTAAGTCAAGTGTGATGGCTATTATTCAAACCCTCTGGAGGGAAACCATGAATAAGAGCTTAGAATTTTTACATATCTCTTCATTTTTAACCTTGTGTGTCTTACTAAGTTAACTGAAAGACTATTTGCACTCCTATATTCGCCACTGTGAATCAGAGTCTGAACCTGCGGTCTTCAGAGCCTTCTTAGAGGGGCCTCATTATACTCTGGGAGTTATTTCTGGTTGTTTATGATTTTTTCTGGGGTGAACCACACAACTGACCCACACAGATGACTTTCCTGTAAGTCTCTTCCTCCCTAACAAGGGGGACATGGATTATCAGTGTCTTTATTCTGAGGGTCTTCAGATGGCTGGACTCAGGAAGTGGGTGGATGTGTGTTTGGAGAAGAGTCTCTCTTAATACAAGGTTCCAGTGAAAATTGCCTTCTTCTGGAGTAACTGCTTCCAATGCAATTTTTTTCATGTGAAAGGTTTTAAGTTTGCCTCAGATGAAACTTCTAAATGCCCCCAGATGTTTGAAATCTCCATATCCAAACATGGGTTCCCACTTGTATGTTCTGAGTACATACTTGGGTGCAGGCAGTTTACTGGGGAGTGTTTTGGGGAGCATCTGAGATAGAGTGAGGGCAGCCACACTGGGTAGGGGTGAGGCTGGGCTTTGGTGCAGGTGCACCTGGGCTTCAGCTGTCCTTCAAGGACTCTGGGGACTGCGACAGACCCCTCCACATTCACCTTGAAGGAAATGGACCAGGCCTTTGTTCTCACCACATGAATGCCAGCACATGAGGGCAGACATAAGGGGTGACACAAAACTGCCTGGGTGATGGCCTTTGAGGGAGGACAGTGCTTGAATGAAAGCTGGTAGGGTTGAGCGCGTACCTGGAATTCTCGAGAGAGCACAGATATGGGGAGCAGGGTGCACAGAGCAACACCGGTCTTACGACAGAGCTCAACGCACCAGATGTCACACTGAACACTGGAGCGAGAGCCCGAGTCATGGAGCTCCATTTTGTTCAGACCGAAGGATTTGGAAGATGGCTGGTGGGACAAATGGAAAAAAGAGCTCAGAATAGCAGCTTATTGATGAGCTAAAGGAAGAGTGTATTTTCTTTAGCAGAACTACAGGCTTAAGACCATGTGTGAAGTCTAAGTGAGAGTCTAGTATGAAGACACTATGTGTAGAACTCTCTTTCAATCTGTATCATTATTTAACTATTATTCCATCTCTTAATTTTGCAAAATCAGTTGGAAGACAGTCAGTGATGCTGTAAGCAATTGGTTCTATATTCATTTAGTATTATTCATTGTCTTAAACTTGAGGAAGATATTTAATGTCATCTTCCAGCAATAGAGCACACATTTTAAAAGTACATGAGCTGGGCATGGTGGCACACACCTTTAACCCCAGCAAGTGAAAGGCAGAGACAGGAGGATCTGGGTTACACAACAGTGCCAGGACTATATAGAGATCTTGTCTCCTCAAAATACCAAAAGCAGTAAATTAAATGTATACAAGTTGATTCTTTAGAAATTTTTTTCAGCTTTTTGTTGTGGTTGTTGTTGTTGTTGTTAAAACACAGCAATAGGACATCCAGTGTGGGACCCTGCTGGACTCCCTGTCTGCAGCTGTGCCTCTGAGCCTGGTCCCCACTGTTAGGAAGGATGCCCCAGACGTGGGTGCAGGGAGGGCTAAGAGTGGAGAGGTGGGACCCAGCAGTATAGATGCAGGTGATTGTCAAGAGCCCTCCCCAGACCTGGGCGGTGTAGGAGAGATTGTGAGGGCTCTAACTGAGTCAGCACAAGTCAGAACAGTGAAAGAAACCTGAGAAAACAAAGAGATGAGGCTAAGTCAACAGAGGAGTAACAATGGGAGCGTACCAGGGACATGGCAGGAACACTGACGCATATGGACGCATATGCCACCATGATGACACAGGGGACATGGCAGGGATACTGTGTGGACACACACACTGCCACGATGTCACAACTGCCCTGCTCTGAGTCATTAAATTCACTGCCAGGTGTGATTCTACATTTTCTTTCATCTTTGGATTTCTTCAATGTGTTTAGCAGTAACAGGTCTTGCAGATCAGTGTAGATCTTAACTGGATGCTCACTCTTCTGAGGCCAGTATGAGCCCTTACCATGTTTTCTATCTGAGACACTCAAGCCACAAAGGCCAGAACTTCTTCCCAGGGTCAGAGCAGACACTGCATGTCAGCCAGGAGGGGAGCCAGGAGACTGTCACAGGGGCTTCATTTGAAAACCTGACTGTTGCGTTGTGACCCACGGAAGAGGCAGCTTTTATATTTGGGAATTGTGTCATCAATTGTGTTTTCTCCTTTCAGCAATATGCTTTTTGAATATTAACTCAACCAGACAGCCAGCAAGTGAGATGAAAAGGATTCTTCATCATGGAAGAATTTTTCACCGAAGCCGTATGACCTTCACAGTATTCCAAACTGACCAACCCTGTAAATATCTGAATGGATAATAAATCACTATTTTCAGGAAATGTCAAAGTGGTCATCTCTCTCCCTCCCTGCCTGTCTCAGCAGCTCAGGCCTCTCTAGGTGCATAACTCTGTCAGTAGAAGGAAGAAAACAGAGACAACTTTTCACATTACTGTCCGTTCTACTCAGGGACAAAATATCTTATCTCACAGCAGCCACCGAGGGTCACTAGAGAAGACATACCCTGGGCTAGCCTCTCGGCTGGTTCAGTGCTATCCTGTCCCACAGCAGGGAAGAACACTGGGAGGCCTTTCTGGGCTTCCCTCACGGGCTCTTCCAAACTGGCTCCTTTCTTCTTTTCTCCTGTGGTCTTGGATGCTTGAACCTGCCTTAATGTAAAACTAGGCTGTCATGAAAACTTTTAACTCAAAATCTGGGGTAGAGGACTCTCAGGAGCTTTTACATTTTAAAGCATTTTCTAAGGACTGTTAAACAAAAAAACAACTCCATAACTGTGAGCCAAATTTGAAACAAGCATTAATTAAATACTGGACAGGATGATGGGCTCTGGCCAGGTCCATCTCTGGGTTCCCAGGAAATGGTCACAAGTCACATTTTGCAGAGGCTTAAGAAGGTAACAACTGCAGAGGCATGGTATTTTCCTTCAGGTCCAATCAAGGGCAAGTATATAGCCTGATGTACTTCCTGTTTGGATACCTCCTGCCTACATCCAATCAGGGGCAATTGTAAATCCTGACATATTTCCTGCTGATGTAGCTCTCCCTGCCCTGGGACAAAACACATCTGTTTAGGGAGTGAAAACACATGGCTTGTTCTCTCGTGTTAACAACAGCCTCCAGCATTTCAGGAAGTTTCTGTCCTTGGGAAAGGGGTTCACAGGTTACTGTTGTGATAATCTTTTCGTACACTGTGTAAAGACGTGTCTCTGTCCTCCCTCACCTGCCTAAGGCACATTCTGATTGGTTTAATAAAGAGCTGAATGGCCAATAGTTTGACAGGAGAGGATAGGTGGAACTTCTTAACAGAGATAGGAACTCTGGGAAAGAGTCTAATGCAAGAGATTCATCAGCCCAATGTGGAGGAAGTCTGAGGTATGGTACTGAGGAGAGGTAATGATCCATATGGGAGAACACTGATTAATATAAACAAATCAATTTAAGTTTTAAGAACTAGTTAGGAACAAGCCTAAGGTAAGGCCAAGCTTTCATAATTAATAGAAAGTCTCTGTGTCGTTATTTAGGAGCCGGTGGTCCAAAGAAAGTCTGACTATAGGTTACAGGATCTATATTTTTGTTTCATGGATCTCTTAAGCATGGTGATCAAAACTTAAGATACAACTTATGGTTCTCACCGGACCCAGAAGAACTTTTATTTATGTGTGTTCCCTGATCAATATTGGCATCTAGAGGAACTCATGGTGAGATCATCTTAAATTTCATTTTTGGTTATTAAAAGGACAAGGGCTGAGAGGGCTCAGTGGTTGAGCACTTGTTTTGCCAGCAGACTAGAGTCAGGCTCCCAGTGTATAACTTCAACTCTAGAAGATCTGATGCCCTCTTCTGGCCTTTGTGGGCACCTACACACATGTAGAGCAAACACACAGACAACACATACATACATTTAAAAAAAAAGGAATGAAGAATAAGAATAAATTCTGGTACTGGGCGTGATGGCCCACAGCTTTTTTTATTTTTGATTTTTCAAGACAAGGTTTCTCTGTAGTTTTGAAGCCTATTCTGGAGCTAGCTCTGTAGACCAGGCTGGCCTCGAACTCACAGAGCCTCTGCCTCCCAAGTGCACCACCACGGTCCAGCTATTTTTTTTTGTCACACCTTTAATCTCAGCACTTGGAAGGCAGAGGTAGTTGGATCTCTGAGTTTGAGGCCAACCTGGTTTACAGAGTGAGAGTCTGTATCTAAAAACTAAACAAACAGAAAGAAGGCATTCTCCTGGGGTGTGCTTTCCTAATATAAATGTGAGGGTTCCAGCTGAAGCCTCAGCACGCACGCTCACACGCACACACACACACACACACGCATGCACGAACACACACAATCTCATTATGAGATATATTTAGTGGACCATCACACATTTGTCAAAATACAGATGTTAGTTTAGATTTCTTTTTGCAAATCTCTGATGTCTACCTTAATACATGATTTCCTGCTGTGTTTCTTAAAGCAGGCTGTTGGGGTATGCTGTCTTGTAGGACCTGAAAAACTGACCTTGCAGAAATGTAAAACAAAGGGGAGTTCCAGTTGAAGAGCCTTTGCAAGTCAATGAGCATATTTTTAAAAAGTTAAATGGCTAATTTTTAAAGGTCAGATGCAATTAGAATCTGAAACTACAGGGTCAAATTTTATGCTCTATCCAGTAAAGTCCATGTGCATTTTCTCTTTCTTACCTCTCCTCTCCTCCCTTCCCCTCTTTACTCCCTTCCTCTTCTCCCCTTTCCTTTCTTCCGCTTCCCTCCCTCCCTCACAGAGATCTTCCTACCTCTGCCTCCCAAGTGTTGGGATTGAAGGTATATGCCACCATACCAACTCCATGTATATTTTAAATGGGTTTCAGCTGTGCATGGCTTGGTCACACACTACGTCACTCATTCAGAAAATCCTGCTTAAGCAGTGCCCAAAAATCTTGAAATACTTCATTATACAATATCAGAACAGCAGAGAGTGTCACTGCTGATAAGAAAAGTGTCAGTAAGTTTGGTACATTTGTATCCCCACCAGCAGTACATGAATGAATCGGTTTCCCTGACACCTTGCCCGTTTTTGTTTGTTGTTGTTGTTAACATCATTACTTTGTATTATTTAAGACAGTCTCACTATATAATCTGAGATGACCTTGAATTTGCAATTCTCCTGCTTTCATCTCCCAAGTGCTGGAATTATAAGCATATCCCACCACGCTTTGCTTACAGACTTCAATTTTATAATAGTCTTAGATTCGTGAACTATTAAGTGGATGATACAGAGAGCTTTCATCTACCTTCTCCAGATTCACATGGTCTTTCACGCCAACAATAGCTTGAATCAGAGGGGTCTTTCATGAGCATCAGAGCAACATTACAATGTTACTAGCATTGGAAGTCCAGTCCTTTCCCTGTGTTCACATTTGTTTTTGCATAACCTCTAGGTTTTGAGAAATGCATGGTGTGTGTATGCCCATCACCTACAGAACAGTTTCAGTTCTCTATGCTTGTGAGCCACCTGCTCACCCTTCTTGCCCTTCTAGTCCCAAAATACCTGGGCTACTGTCTTCACCACTTTTTTCTGTCTTTTAATTTCAGCATCACTGATGTATGTGAGGTCGTGAGCTGTTGTCACTTTGGTTTGTAGTTCCTTGTGTTCATGTTTTTCTATCATCTGCATATGAAATCCTTTAGTGTATTTTGCTGATGCTCAATTGCATTTATTGTTGTTGTTCTATTATAGTGATATTTTATTTGTGTTTTAATGAATAAAACTTGCTGAATATCAGAGCATAAACTAAGACACTTTAATCTCACATTTTTAATCTCAGGATTTGGGAGACAGAGGCAAGTGGATCTCTGTAAGTTCTAGGACACTGTGGGCTACACAAGATCAATGCAGAAACAGATCCGGGTGGTGATAGCGGCTCACACCTTTAATCCCAGTACTAGGAGGTCACACACCTTTAATCCCAGCACCAAAGGAGAATATAAGATGAGAAGAGACAGAGGCTCAGAGCTCAGTCTGCAGTGCCCAGCCTTGGTAGAGGTAAGACTCTCTAGTGGTTGGCTGCTTTGCTTTTCTGATCCTCAGCTTGAAGTTCAAGAGAAGTTCTGTCTCTGGGTATGAATTCATGAAAAAGCCACTGGCACAGGCCAGAGCTGCATGTGGGACTCCAACACCACACCACCTATCGAGGCTTTCTTTAATTTAAGCCTCTGAGCAAGTTTGGGATTTTTCTGTTGTAGCCTTCAGGCAGTCCCCCAACACACATGATTTTTCTGAACAATTCCCAATCCCCTGTGTGCTTTTCAGCTTTTCAGACATATCTCTCTCTCTCTCTCTCTCTCTCTCTCTCTCTCTCTCTCTCT